TGGCTCTTCCTGGCTTGCATTTGTCATTACACAAGAGCTCCACCACCTATGACAGTGATGCCAGTGGTGATGCCTACTTGAGCCAAGTACACCAAACCGATTCAAACATTCCTAACGGTGATGCAACCAACAAGCAAATCGTATCAGCAAACTACTCCTAGTTAATGCTTGTACGATGTCAATTTTGGGTACCACAAACTTCAAATTGACACTTTCTTGCTGATCCAGTTGGATCTGATCAAATGCAGGGTTGGGTCGGGTTTGGATCAGACCGAGAAAAAATGTCACGTCAAAATCTTTGGCTCAAGCCTGGCCCAACACATTGTCAGGTTGAATCAAGCTATTTATTGGAATTTTTTTTGGGTTGGGTCGGGTCGTAGGCCGAAAATCATGACTCTAAATTCTTAAAAAGAAAATCATGACTCTAAAACTTATCTGAATAATGGAGTGGATAATATCCATACATTTTTTAAGAGATATATTACTAAGATGTTTTGGGGTACAAAACTGTAAATGTAATGATGCGTGTGCAGTGTGCTTAGTGCATTAAGAGTGAGCATGTGTAACAGGGTCACTCGCGCAGCATCCGCTTCACCATCTGCAGCGTCGGCACGAACCTGGTGGTGTTGAGCCGGATGTTCTGCTCCCGCCAGTAGAACTTCGCTTTGCTGCCGTTCTCTGTAGAACACGCCGGGTCGGCGATCACCGGGTGGTCCTTGCCGCTGTCGTCACGGCGTGCTCTCCTCGGCGGCGATCTTTGTGACGCGACGTGGCGATGCGTCATTGGGCGCCGAAGAACCCTTCCCGTAGGGCTCCATCTTCCCCACGGGATGACCTGCACCACCACGGCTCCCGCCGCAGGGAACACCATGTTGGTCAGCCCGGCGCGCCGGCGCGCACCACGAAAGCACGTCGCCGACGCGTCCACCTCGCGCGCCACCACGCCCACGTCCGCCCGGGACGTCGCTCATCCATGCGCGCCACCTCGAAGCCGGCGCGCCGATCGATCGCGTCCATGATCGCGCCCTCGTTCACGAACCGCCGCCTGCGTCCCCGGAGGATGAGCATGAGCCGCGGCCTCGTTCCGCCGCCGCCAGACTTGCACGGTAGCGCGACGCTGGCTCCTGGCGGCGGCAGGGGGTAAGGGGGTAGGCGGCTCGGACGAACTCGCGGAACGCGAGCATGTCGTACCCATTCGGTGCGGGCGCTGGGCCGATGTCGAAGTCGCGGTGGTGGCCGCGGAGGCCGACGACGAGGTGTGCGTAGCACCGCACGACGTCGTCGTCCGCGTCGAGGTCCACCACGTCATACCGCGAGAGCGCGCGGAAGACGCGGCCGTACTTGCCGAGGAACCAGGCCTGGGCGCCGGCGCCGGTGGCGAGGAGCTCGACGTCGCCCCCGAAGGCCCGCGCCGTCGTGAAGAGCGGCACCAGCACGTCGCTGAAGGCGTGCCAGTAGTTGGACGTTAGGCCGCCGAGCGCGAACACCACGGCCGGCACGCCCCGGCGGACCGTGCAGCGGGGCGCCTCGTGGAGGCTGGACGCGTCCAGGGACCGGACGGTCACCTCGCGGACGTCGACGATCTTGCGGGACTGGGAGCGGATGCTCCAGGTGGCCGCCGCCGCGGTGGCCAGCTGCGGCGGCGGCGGGATGAAGTAGACCACCGAATTGTTGGCGCCACTCGCCGTGCGCGCGTCGCCCCACATCTCGCACCCGTCGTAGCGCCGGTCGGAGAGGTCGCAGATCGGCTCCAGAGGAGGATGCACTTGCGCAACAGAGGTTGCCATCGCCGTCGCCGTCGCCGTCGCCGGTGCAATTTCTTCACCTGCAAACGGAGGAAAAAAACTGAGAAATTTAGCTGTAATGCCTAGGAATCTGAACTTGCTGGTGAGACGTGCATATGGAGAGTGAACCAGTGATTTTTTTCGGAGAACTCGTGGCATCTTTTTTCTGGGCCTGCTCTGTGAACACCGGAGGTTCTGCTGTCCTATCGGCTGCAAAATGTTGGGTCAAATTTGCCAGCGATCGATCTTTAGACGGTGAATTGGGAAGAAACGAATACCGAGACTTGTGTGCGGTGTCATGCATGATGAACTCGACTGGACTGCAAGGTAGCTCACCTAGCGGTGGCAGTGCATGACCACTCGTCTCCTCCCCCGGCGCCGGCGAACCTGCACCGTCGTCTCCCGACGAGCCCCGCAAGAGAGCTAGCTTCGACAACAACGCAAAACAAGTCCGTGACCGTGAGTGAGAACGAAACCGTAGGTTTGGCACGTGTAATTCGTATATAAGATCGGCTCACCGTTTGTGCCACGGACTGTGAACTGCGTCGGCACGGAGAGAAAGATCACCGCCGCGACGAAGAGGCCGGCGAACAGCGCGACGGCGAGTCTGCTCTCCGCGAGCGCCGGCCATAACTTGTCCAGGGTCTTCTTCATTTGGACTGAAACCGGAACCGGCAGTTGCAAGAGCAGTAGTAGTCCAGCCAGGACACTCCCGTTTCTCCTCCTTAAAAAGCCGCTTTTGTCAGGGAATTCTGCGTTCCATGACTCTCACACACCCCATGGAATTCTGCATTTCGGGTCTTCGCTTCACGTTATGAGTCAGAGGCAATACGGCATGGTTCTGTGTTGCAGTACACGTCTTGTTTTCAATCGTTTGGGCGGCTCCACTCACACGTTTTTAGTAGGTTGCTTGCTCGAAATTGGTTGCTATTGGGGGCAGAGGGGGGGAGTACAATAAATGGTGACTGTGCATTGCCTGTGGAATTCGAGTATGGCTGCTGGATCTGGCAGGGTAGAAACAATACTTTCAGTTCAGGGGGGGTAAAGGATAGGTACCGGACATGCAAATTCATCCTCTTCTTTGGTACCGTTTAGTTCCCTCCTAAAATATCAAATTTTTCATGATTCTCCATCACATCGAATCTTTAAACGCATGCATAAAATATTAAATATAAATAAAAAATAAAACTAATTACACAGTTTAGACGAAATCCACGAGACGAATCTTTTAAACCTAATTAGACTATAATTAGACACTAATTGTCAAATAACAACGAAAACTGCTACAGTATCATTTTTTCAAATTTTTCGGCATCTATGTGCATTCACAACGTAGAAATAGACCACTTTGTCAGCCTATATCAACAACAGTGGTTGCACCCTTTTTTTTTGAGAAAAAACAGTGGTTGCACCTGAATGACGCACGGTTGCCCGTTAGAGTCAGGTAGAAAAAACATCTTTGCCTCAAGCGTCACGGCCCGGACGGGGTCACGACATTAAAACAAGCTGCAAGGCAACGACGAGACATCTTCGCCTGTTAGCAAGTAGTCCTACTCGAACACTCGACGATGTGGCGGGATGTGCACACAGTGACGCTAAGTGTGCACGCCGCTCCCCAAAACCTCCTTAGGATACTACAGTTCTACCACAAGACAGTTTATCTTTCGCTGAAGCCTCGACATGATATGATTCGACAGTCTACAGAGGGTAAGACATTAAAACCAGCTATGCGTTGTCATTTGAAGCTGGGGAGGTAACTGTGCAGAGAAACTAATCCTGAACATTAGGCAGTTTTAAGGGGGAGTGCACACTCCCCACGATAGAAGGAAAATGCAAACATTCGCTCCCACTGTTTTAGTATAATTACAAGGGGTGTCAACTGGACATTCCCCACTTCTGTTCTGCAGCTTCCTCCTCCCTGCAGATCGTTAGATGTTTCTGAGTTTCTCTCCTAGTCCTGCCCATGTGAAACCAGGGCAGAAGTTATGCTCAAATTACAGCAAAATTAACTACAATCAGCTCACTTATCTAAAAAACAATGGATAAATCATGATTGGATACATTGCAATGCATTATTAAGTTTGTTTACACATAATGGGAATAAATCACATTCTTTTTTGCGAAACAATATGGCACTGGACGCTGTATCTTTTAATAGGAAACACAAAACCAAATGCATCCTGGTCCCTTATTTGTGAAATAGGATAACCACTTGATACCGCACCTTTTAAGAAAGAAAAAAAAAGGGAACATATATAGTGCAAACCAACCTCTCCGTGCAAACCGTGCAAACCAACTGCGGAGGAGAGGTGGGAGGGGGGATTTGCAAAAGTGTAATTACGCCCGCTCCTAATTACACTTTTGCAAATCCCCCCTCCCACCTCTCCCCCGCAGTTGGTTTGCACGGTTTGCACGGAGAGGTTGGTTTGCACTTGATACATTGCCGGAAAAAAAAGTAATGCAATGAAACATAGAAGAGAGCAAGGTTCTGTTGAAGCCCAATTTCCTTTCTAAAGGACTACTTCTCATACCCGTTGGATTGATCAGCCAGATTTTCTCTCTTAATCTGACTGTCCATCTCGATGCCACACCCGATTCCCTCGCCCTCCCGAGGCCATCACGACCGCCGCCTTCAGAAGCAGGGCTTCGCTGCTCTGCCCTCCTCCCTCTCATGCGATTTCATGCTGTCAAATCCGCTATCAGCTAACCCATCTTCAACGAGAACACCCATCAATTGCCCCTAGACCCCACCACACCGCAGCGGACAGCGTCCACATTGCCATGACACCACCAACTTTACCAAGCCAGCCTCCCTCTCAGGTGACCTCCAAACATGCCTGAATCAGGTACGTCCTCACCCCCAGTGCTAAATCCCCAAAGCAAAACTAAACCCAAATAAATACACGACCCTGGGATTTGCAGGATCCAAGTCACCTTAGATCTCACCAAATCTGCAACAATGAACTGCGGTCCAAACAGCATTGCAAGTAGTATTTGTCTGACAAAAAATACCTACCTTAAAAGTTAGGCAATGATGGCATAATGTGAATATGAACTTCTTAGTCCCATCCAACAGGGAAAATATGAGTCAGGACTAAGGAGGTACCTGATGAAATTAAATATTGCATTGAAAATAACAATGGAATCATTGGCTACTACAGAAGGAAGATCAAATAAAACTAGATTACTGGGAAGAGTCTTACCCAGATTTTCTTTTCATCTAACGTTTTGTGCTATTGAAGGCAGGGCTGGCCTTTTCTCTACCAGCTCATAGTGGAGAACAAAGTTGTCCTGCAGTAAACACAGGATAATGTAACTTTCAAGTGTACAAGAGATGCCACATATTTTTTCCAGTATATAGGTCAACAGGACCAAACCTTACGGACTGAATCCCAGATCTCTGGGTCAAAGCAAAGGTAAGATCCACGTTCATAGAAGTGAGTTTTGACTAGAGGTTCCACATTTGCAGTTCTTGTGAACCATAAGCGCACTTCTTTATGGTAAAACCATCCCCGATTATACCTGAGAAGACAAAATCAAATACACTATAGGGTTTATTAAGGTTAATATACATAAAGAAAAAATAAAAACCAGTTTAATCTCTGTTTGGTTTAGCTATGCTGCACTAGGTTGTCAAGTGTGGTACATGTGAAAAGGTAGCTTTTGACAAATATAGTTAGATACTATTGCTGTCATTCAATAGTAGACAGAATGAAAGAGAGTTCATGGCAATATCTTGAAAAATGGCTAAGCCTAGAAGAAGTCTCAAGGGACACGCAGCAATGCGACACAAACACTCATCAAAGTTAGCAAACTACCAACAAACAAATATTGTAATGGACTGAAACTTCATTAACTAAAATGAGAAGTAAAGAGTAAATTTGAAAACACTTGTGGTCAGGTAGTCTAGCTGCTTAGAGCAGCAGTTCAAGGCTTTACTGACCCAAACAACAATCCATGCATAGGTTCTTAGTGTGTACAAGTAACATAATATTTCAAAAAAAAACAGAAGAAGTGCCAAATTATATAACACAAAAGCTCGGCTGGTTCAACATTCACTGAATTAGGTTCATATATGCAGGTTACATTTGCTTCTAATAAGTGGAAACTGGCATCATTAACCCATCGTTAGGCTGGCAGCTGGTTTATGAACAAGTTTTACAGCATTAACAAGGATATTAATCTTTGCCACGGATATTGCTGATATGTGATCGTAACACTTAATACAGTACTACAAAAAAGTCTAGAAACATTAAAAAGCAAGGAGCATGAAAACTCAGATAAATAGCACCAAGATATGCTAAAGAAATGGCCTCAATGTACTCACAGTTCATTGGCAGCATACAGCTGAGCTTCATCCCTTGGCATGCTACAAGAAGAGAAAATATAATCAGATTAAACTATGGTGAGTAAATGACAAGCCTAAAGAAGTAAAATATTATGGTAGAACTGTGGAAGTACCTATAGAAGATGTAAAATAGTATTAGTATGTGAAACTTCTGAAAAAGTAAGGGCTGCAACAAGACAGAATTTGTTAAAATGTAATATGAACCAGACACATCAAGATAAAATTCTGGTGGTTATATCAGATAACGTGGTTTTAAAAATCTCATTATCGAAAGTAGCCTACAGTTACGGGGTGCTTACCTGTAGCGGTGGAGTTTGCTCAGAGAAGTAACAAGCTGGAATTCGAAAATCAGTATCTCCTTCTGCTGGGTCATTCGACCAGGGTGAGCCAAATGTCTTGTATAGATTATCTGGTGAGTTCAAGTTCAAACCCAATGTTGTCAAATCTATTCCTAAAGCAAGAGATGCTAAATCAGCATCATTCATCCTTATAACTCCCAGCAATCCTAACAAGCCATATGGATCAGGTGGTGTTGGTCCCGCCTGAATCTTTTGAATCTGATCCCGATATGAATGTACAGCTGAAGACATCTGCTGAAACCTGAAATGATTTTGAGGCTGCGGTTGCTGGTATTGCGGCAGAAATTGATCATATGATCCCAAACCAGAAGTTTGACTGGGTGGTCTCAGTAAAATATTGTGTGATCCGGCATTCTGGACCTGATAGAACATAATTGAGATTACTACCATCGTTCAATCAAAGGGGCAATATAAACATCAAAGTGATACATCCCTCTGGAAAGATTAATTGGATGGTTGTTTTGGGAAAATCATGGGGTACTTACTGAATTAGCACCTTGCTGGTGTTGTTGACGATTAGGTAGGTAGCTACTTCCTAAGTTAAAGCCTGACCTTGCCATCTGTGTATGTGTGCATATTATGTCAAAAAAAAAAAGACAACGACTCAAGGGGATGATTATTCAAACTACAGAAAATTAACTCACAGGATACTGCTGCGATTGCATTACAGGTACATTCTCGTGGAGTTGTTCCTTATGATGCAACTCCATAGCATTATAATCCGAAGGGTTACCTGATAACACAAGAGATTATTAAATTTTCCAAGTTGTTAAAATAGAGTTAACAAGAATAAATGCATTAACTAGTGAAATGTCCATTGCTTCTGCTGGGTTTCAACTCTAGCCTACCCCAACTTGTTTGGGACTTAAAGGCTTTGTTGTTGTTGTTGTTGTAGTGAAATGTCCATAAAGAGAATGTCAAGCATCAATAAAACATAAGATTCTATTTTTTTGTGTGGGTTTATGAAGGAGTGATACTCCAATCCAATGAGGATGTGCACCAACCAAATGAACCCAAAAGCTTAAGCGATTGGGAAGAGGTGGGCAATCCACTAATACTTCACAACAGAGGAAAGAATCAGTTCAAAAGGCAGGTAAAAAGATAACAATGATTCAAGATTTGTAACACAACTAAGGAAAAAAATTGACCTCTTTATAGAAAAATGATTCAGCAGCGAAGATTAGACGCAATTCATCCAAGGGCAATGCTAGTTTTTCCTTTGTAAAGAAGGAAAAAAGGATGTAATAATTGGCTCAAAAGTATGACCTTATTGCAAAACTTTGTTTCCTATTGCAAACTTTGTTTCATTTTGGTGTATCACAAAAGACGCAAGAAACGAAAAGGGATGTGAAGCTTCATACAGTACAGTGCTCAGGGTACGCATGTCCAGCCGAAAGGGTCGCAACATTGTACCTCAGTAGCACTTGCATCTCATAATTAGGAGGTTCTTTTGATCTATTTTGGTTGAAATGGTCAGGTCTCATGAGAAATCCTAAGGGCTTGAACATCTCTGGATGGTTCAGGTGCTACCTCATAAAGGCCAATTTACCTTCCATGTCTTATATGGATTGTAGTAGTGTACTTGTGTTGTTTCCATATACAAGCACAACATCACAAGATCATACAACAAATTCTCTGTACGAATTGTTGAAAGATGATTCCACAACATCAATAGGGGAAAAACTCAAGGGCTGTGTGCTCACTTTTGGTTTTGGTTACTAGAATGCTGACAGAAGGATTACAGGCTGGTTGCCATGTTCGCACAAGCATGCAAGTTATAATTGGACCTTTTGTTTATGTTACGAGTCTCACCTATTACAAAAAAAAAAAAAAAAACTATTAACCAAAATATTTCATTAAGAAGTCTCAACCACAGGGTCAAGAAAAGGCCACAAACCGTGGCTATTAAATAGCACAGAGAGTGGCCCTTTTTTGTGAGAAAAGAGAGTCGAACTCGCGACCTGTAGGTCACACAACAGCTCCCCAACCACTGCGCTACGCGCACATTTTCCGAATCTCCCCTTATCGACCATCAAATAATGGTCCATGATAATTCTAGTTGGCCAGCGGTTTGATGAATAATCCCAATATTGGCCCTTTATTCCTACAAAAAAGGGGAAAAACCACCGATATGCTGGTACAGGGCCAGGTCTTCTATTGATTCCTTTTTTGTTATTATAGGCTCGGTGACGGGTTTCTTCATTATTGTTGTCGGGCTTTTTTGTTACTTTGAAGACCACTTTTGTTGTCGGTCACCAAAGAGCTAGAAGATGGATAACACATCCAAAAGACAAGATTTTTACGTAGATAGATTCTTCTCTCTATCACCTCTTCCCATCTTTGGCCTAGTCATAGTCACATAAAACAGGGTCAAAGGCATCGACCCTCAACCCGGGAATGTCGCCCAACCCGGGTATGCGGGATCATTTTCGACCATTGCGTCAAAACCTCTCCCAAATAGCATACCACATTCATCGACTCCATTCCTCAACCCCATTTACACAGGAACTTTGTGGCTATGGGCCAGTCTAAAAGTGTGGCTATGGGCCTAGTCTAAAAGTGTATCCACCGCGTTGGATATCAATAACAACCACAAATATAGCCAAGGCTTAGGATGATTAGACAATCCATCTATAGCTCCATCGTGTCCTATGGGTATGATCACCCACAAACTTGTGTTGGCCTTCTGGATCTTTGTTGCCAATATACAATGTAGTAAGGCAGACCACTTTATAAGAGTGGCAAGATGACGAGTTCGCCGTTAAGAACTGTTCACATCATGTTATACCTTTGGCAGGTTTGCAAATGCTCATCTGGATACTAGTCGTGTATTTCTACTTGACGCAGGGATTGTCAAAGATGGGACAGTATATGCTACTCCCTCCATTCCAAATTATAAGACATTTTGGCTTTTTTAGATACATTAGTTTAACTATGTATCTAGACATAGTGTATATCTAAGTGCATAGCAAAAGTTATATATCCTGAAAAGCTAAAACATCTTATAATTTGGAATGGAGAGAGTACAAGAGAATCTAACGATAGGGCCTTACTGTTGCCAAGGAAAAAGCCAATTGCAACAAGAGAAACAAAAAGATTTCACATTAAACCTATGAAAGTGTAATAACCTCTGATTAACTTGAGGAAAAGATAAATAGTAAATTGAAAGATGGAGCTCACAACACAAGCCAGGGTCATACTGTTGAAAACTAAACAGTTCAAATGCTAAGCTCAAGTACTCAACAAATACAGAGTAACAAGGGCCAGTTTATAACAACAAACTGTAGAAGATACACAACTGATATTGGAAGGTCAAGGTCAGTAACACAATTCGTTTCAAAAAATATATATATACACAATCAAACAGATCGGCACCACAGATGGCAAAATGAGGAAATCCCACTAAATCAACTGACAATTTATAGTAACAAATTTGACTAGAACAACCTTTATATCCAGGCAAAGCCGGGAAGTCTTCATTTTGAATGCTGAATTCCTGGTTTTGTTGCACAATGGTGTTAACACCAACTCCTTGCTTGTGCAGTGACCCTGCAATTTAAAGAAATTAGCAAAATCAATATCCAAATAATAATTAAGAAACATATTAGTTTCCAGCACTCTTACCATATTGTCCTTGCGAACCACCAGCAGAACTAGGCCGGCCAGACAATTGGGGAAAATCATTTATGTCAAATGGAGCAGTGTCACTGGCATCATGCAACATCCCCATAGAACTAAGAGAATTATTTCCTGCTTGAATTTGGTTCTGCGATAATGAACCTCCAGATGTTGGATATGAACTTCCAAGCATATTTATCAACTGAGGAGATGCTGGTTTCAGAGATTAAAAAAGGCTGGATGAGACATGAATTCTGATAAACAGATAAGTAATAAACAGCACACTTCTTAACCATTAAAATTTTTGGAGACTTGTTTCACAATTATACAAATAAAAAATGTACAAGCTTATATCAGGATCAGGTACTATTATGCTATATACATCTGGGATCATGAGTTGAACCGCATTACATGAGAATATAAAAACAGGAAATGTTAAGAACTTGGTATAACTGGGGAATCTTTCATGAGGTGCTACTTTCCTGTCTCGCTCACAATTATACAAACTCGCTTGCAATTTACTCTCTAGCGCTACCTATTCCCACAAAGCAAAAATAGCAATACATACATGCTGATTCAACAGGCTACAAGATAATACATTATATGGGGGCAGTGGGCTGCTTGTTTCTCATTGCCAAATTTTAATGCCAAGAAAAAGTTGAAAGGTGGGTGCTCAGCTTGAACCTTGGAGCAAGAAATGAAACAAGTGGACAACCAACATAACATGTTAAAGAGTTGAGGCTACAACTGACCAGAAACAAGCCAGCCAACCATGACACATGGAGTCCAGTTAAATCTATTAAATTAAAAAATATATAACATTTCACTTGTTTATGGGTACATGTAATCAATTACCTTGTTGATGAAGCAAGCCATTCATCATTCGACTAGATCCTTGCACATTCAGACTACCACTCCCAGCATTGCCACTCAGATTCATCCGTGATGCAATACTTGGGATGGACAAACCACCAGTGCTTATATTTCTTCCAATATTGCTTCCACTTACAATATTTCCTACAGAACTTGTGATCCGTGGACCCAAGTTTCCTAAAGATGGAGATACTGACATCCCAGGAACAGAATTGCGACTACCACCGGATAAGCCTTGGATGTTACCACCAATATTCATGCTGCTACTAAATGCCGGACCTCCGCCAAAATTCATCCCTCTACCACTGACACCTGAATGTGCATGAGGAATCTGCAAAGGGACCACACAATAAATCATCTTGCTCCACATGGATGCACAGACAGAGAAACCGACATTTGAACTATAAAAGTTGGTCCTCGGATCCCATAAGCCATTAAAGTGAACATGTATGCTTACCACCAAATAAGAAAATGAATTGCAATATATATGAATAAAGGTGAGCATTAGAACCTGAGACATGGCAACCGGAAGGTTGTTTGAAGGGAATCTCCCAGGAATGCTACCTCCAGGTTGTTGAACCCCAGAGGACGGAAGGCCACTCATGGCAGCATTCCTTTGTGCAAGTGATCCAGGCATACTTGGAAGGTTGTAACTTCCATGAGTGTTATGCAAGCCTTTGAAAATATCAGGAAAAGAAACCTTACTTAATGCCTGTCATGTAGTATAAATGGACTAACCAAAGTTTTTTGTATTATATATATGCTCACCAGAATGATGGAAACCTGGAATTGATCCAGATTGACCCGAAAAGGATGCTGTAAATGGCCTTCCAGCTGAGTCTGGAAGATTTGATGCTGAACTATTAAGGTTTGACTGCCAAGGAAAGAAAAACTGAGTTAATAAAAAAATAAACATAATATTGAGTTAAGCCTGCAAACCATATTGAGATAAGCAGGCCCCTAAAGAAGTTTGAGTAGGAGATAGTCATCAAAGAGTTCAAGATGAAATACTCATTTGTTGTCCACAAAAAAAAAACATAAAAAAGGAGTGTAAACAAACAAGCAAATGACCTACCAGATCACAACGTAACAATACCTCTGCCCTGATTTACCTGCTGATAGTCTCAAAGTGCACAAATTTGACTATCACCTAATACAAGTACCGTATATCAAACATTAAAAATATCGCTGTCTCACAGTGCACAATTTAACTATCACCTAATATAAGTACCATATATCAAACATTAAAAATATTGTTGTGACACAATGAAGTATCGCCCTGTTCGTTTGGGCTGGTTTGGCTTATAAGCCATTGCTGAAAGTACTGTTGGCTGGTTTGGTGTGAGAGAAAAATACTGTTCGTTGGCTGATAAGCCATGGCTTATAAGCCAGATACGAGCAAGCGAACAGGCAACTCTTGCATGATATCTCTAAAAAGATTTGCCTGGTGATGATTGAAGTTATATAAAAGTTTGACTTTCATTCAAGAATATCATCCATTCTGGACCCAATGTAGTAAACAAATAGAAAGAACATGAATCCATAATGATAGCAAGAAAATCCAAAGGCAAGTATACTTGTGCAAGTAAGTACATTCAGCAAGCCCGACATTTTGAAGACACCAAAAGAAACGAAGACTCAAGGGCAAATGAAGATTATCCGCAGAAAATGCAGGACGCAGCAAACCCTTCCAACCTGAAACAGAAAGAGGATACATTTATAAGTAGTCAGTACAATAAGGGAATCCTTTGAACAAGGAAAATACCTTATATTAAAACAATGTGAACAACATATAACAAGTACAGCAATGAAACTGAAAGACAGACACTAAATTCAAGTTTGTCCCTAGATCAGTTGGTTTTTACATATCTGTCATTCAGTTGAAATGCCATGACAACAACAAAGCTGTTAAATCCCGGGCAAATGGGGAAGGCTGAGATGAAAACCATTGCAAACCATCAACAAAAAGGAAAGTCATAAAAAAAATATAAAAGGATCACTTGAAACGACTGGAAAGAGTAAGCTATAAGAAAATCATTCGAAAACTAAATAATTACAATTATCACAATAACTGCAGAAATTTTGAACACTAAAAGATTGGTCAGGCCAACCTTCCAATATAAAGCAGACCATGTGCCAGCACAATATGAAAACATGCCGATTTTCCTAAACACCTCGAAACATGTAGAAGGTTATTTGTGCCATAAACCACTGGGTTACTGGGTTAGACTAGTGCATTCCAGAATAACCTGATCAGCACAAAACATGACAGCAGCAACATTGCATATGAGAGCTGACACTGAAACTGCTGAACATATAATCCCACACACTCAACCCTTCTCCGAAGGTACGAGCACACAAATCTCCGCAACCTAACACACGCATACATCAAAGCAAGGAAGGAAAAAAGCAGAGAACGAAAAAATTCCGGCGAACATATAACACGATCCCACTCCACATCGGCAATCGCTGGATGGACGATCAGAAACACACGTAGAAACGGATCGAAGGACGCAAAAGGCCGGCAAGGGAGTCGGATGGGAGCGGAATCGCGGGGTCTGTGTCGGGGAATTAGGGCAAACCGGGGCACGGGGCATGCTTACCGAGGGGAGGCCGAGACTGTCACGCGGGAGGCGGAGAAGATCGGGTTCGACGGCGACGGCGGCGGCGGTGGCGGTGGCGGTGGCGGTGGCGGACGCGCTCGGCGGATCCAGGGGGGAAGTGGAGAGCGTCGCGACTCGCGAGAGGGCGAGACGCGCTGCGTCTGGCCGTCGGCGACGGCGAGAGGAATCGAAACTGACACGGAGAGACGACGGGGAGGGGGAGCGGAGGGGAGGAGAAAGGCACTTTAGAAGGGGCAGGAGGAGGTGGGTTTTGGTCCGTTACAGATGAAATGGATCTGGTTGGAGGATGATCTGCGCGGGCTGAGTGGGCCGGTATTGGATTTCTTTCGAGGCTGGGGTCGAGGGATAAAATGGGCCTGATCTGGACGGCTCTCGGTAAATTACATTTTTTATTATTTCAGGCCACTTTGAAATGTATGATTCTCAAAACATATAGAAATAAAAAAAATGCATGATTAGAGTTGCATATAACTTACAATCCTACAGAAATTCAAAATACAGGAAAATTACCATTTTGTACTTTGGATGCAACACAAAAAAAAAATTGCAAGAATTAGGAGAGATAGACATAGAGGAAACATACTAGTTTTCCTTCAAAATTTATATGATTTTATACATTTCATAGGAATCCAAAGGAATTGTATAAGGTTTATAATCATTTGTTCTAAAGGTATATACCTAATTTTCTTGTAATATTAAAATCAACTAACATTCTTATGCTTTTCCTTTGTTTCAAAGGGAGCCTCATATTGTTTTTGATAGGTGCACATAACGAATTGGGATAATGGCTACGTAATAGGTACTAGTAGAGTAGGTTTAATGTCATCCTAAATAAAATGAAGCACTTTATGTGGAGAATGACGCGTGACACTGTAGCTCTAAGAATAAATCGGAGAGGCATGAGAATCGACACAGTATGTCCCATCTACAATCGATTGGATGAGAGTGGAGGGCATTTGTTCTTTTGAGTAGATTACTTCATTGTCATTAGAATTTATATGGAATTCCCTTAGGGGCCGTTTAGATTCTTTTATTTTGGAGGAATTAAAATATATATAATGGATTGGGCTATTTGGCTTGAAATTTGACATTCCATAATATTCCCAAGTTCACAAATAAGCCTATCTTAAATTCATAAGGTGGGAGATGAAAATGGATTATATAGATCACTATGCTATAATTCTATTTTTCAACTTATAGCACACTCTTCAACTCACTTCCCTACAATAGAAATGCAACATATAAGTATGTCCCTTATATATCTAACAATAAATATACAATATATATTCCATATGCAACTATATTAGTTTAATTAATCTATACCTAAATTGTAATTATTAGAATGAATTCAATTCCAAGGATTCAAACGGACCCATGCTATTGAAATTTTCAACTTCTCTTAGTTGCCATTATTCTAAGTTTGCATTCTCTTGGTTGTCGATATGTTAACTTGCCTTTGTTAGTACTGGATGTCATGGTCCTACAACCGATGATCATAGGATAGCAGTCCGCTGCCCACATGGGAACACCTATGCTATACATCTAGACAGTGTAGGCTTCGGCCTAGGCAGCTAGGTTGCCTAGGCTAAGTAATATTCTCAAGTGTTGGATTCTGATGATCTAGATCTAAGATAAATGCCTAACCAAGTTGTGTGGCACCAGAGCTCCAACCAAACAGTCCCCTACTGCTTTTGCCTCAACTCCCTGGATCACGCTATATTAGTGAGTTGATTCCTCGCCTCACCCACATAGAAAATGCCCTCCTCCTTCTTCACTCTCTAACACGACCTCGAATCGTGAAGGAAAGGTGGGCGGTGGTTGAGAAAGGCAATCTTATTGAAATTAATAACCGCATTTTCCAAGCAAAAGTTATCATCATTTGCCCCTTTAAGTAAAGAGATCAAGAGGGCAAACTTCCGAAAACATGATATATCACGTGGCAGTGGCAAAGGCCAAAAGCTTTTAGGAGCCTGAACGATCATCATTATACAAAAATATTTACCTAACAAATTGCAGTGTTCTTTTTTATAAAAAAAAAATCTTTTAAACTTCATCGACAGGCCTAGACAGTCGCATGGGGTAGCCAGGCGGTTACTCTGCTACTGTCACGTGGTATGGATTGCCAAATAGTAAAGCTCCACCAAGTTACGCTCCCAGTCACGGTGTTGGATTTACAACACAAGACTTTCGTCAACCAAAAGCTAGTTGCATGAATCACAAAGTCTCGCTAGCGCCACCTAGCTCTTTCGGTCATCTTGATGTCGTGCACACTATAGAGCTTCTCCAAAACGGAGAGGATCTTCTCGTCCCCGCACACCAATACGATGCCACTCCATACAAAAAATGAGGGAGGTCACCACACCTTCACCGAACGGTCACAAGGACCTCTGGCACTCTAGCTCACGATGATATACGAGAATAAACTTCACAGGTTTGTCCTAACCTTGATGTGATTCGTTGGGTGGTTCCTAACCTTGATGTGATCCGTTGGGTGGTTTTTGATACTTAAAACGGTATTCACAGATGATCCTCACTGACACTAGAAAAAGAAAACAGATTGTATTCACCGATGATCCTCACTCACACTAGAAAAGAAAAACAGATTGTATTCACCTTCACCGTATTCACAGATGATCCTCACTGACACTAGAAAAAGAAAACAAATTGCAAAATGAGACTGACACTAGAAAAAGAAAACAAATTGCAGAAAAGGAAAACAGATTGTATTCTCCTTCACCGTATTCACAGATGATCCTCACTGACACTAGAAAAAGAAAACAAATTGCAAAATGAGAGACTGACGCTAGAAAAAGAAAACAAATTGCAAATTGAGAGACGTGGAGGACGCGGGGAATCGAATCCCGTGCCTCTCGCATGCGAAGCGAGCGCTCTACCATATGAGCTACGTCCCATCATTTGTCTCCCTCCGATGTTAAGATCTTTTCCAACAGGCTAACCATCTTTGCCTGTTAACAACAGCCGGCAACGTATACCAGATGTTGATTAATGATAAAAAGCGAATCGATTAGAAGTCACTCAATGTATTGGTACAACACAACCGACACAGATGGAGAAAGAAAAATGCAGTATCATCGACGAGTTTCAATGGAAGTCCCTCACAGGCCTAAAGGTAAGGCATATGATGAGCTAAACGCCTCTTCAGATCACAGCAGCTAGCAGAGGCGACATGCTGTGCCCTCCCTGCTGCTGCCGGCTACTAGGGCCCTCGGCACATCCAAGGACCAACGAATGATATCACCAAAGCCAAGGGTCAAACTGCTACCATAGCTGTTGGTGCTAGGAACCGGCAGTTTCATCTTCAGATGAAACATCGTGCTTGGATGACAGCTTCTGTTTCCGGCCGTTCCTCCTCCGGCTGGTGTTTGGACCTCGCGGCGTTGCCGCTTGTTTCGTGTCGCTCACCTGCAGAAGACAAGATAAAAATTAAAAGGCCACCATCAAATGCAGAAGATTCTATTCCCTTGAATTAGTCTAGCCAAGGAGGAGCTTAAGAGCAACAGCCACATTTCATTCGTATACCAGAGCATAGGTTCCCAAGGAAAAGAAACCAGCACACCACTTGTTTCATGGGGTTCTCAAGGAAAAGAACAAATATGGAGCATCAGAGCATAGATTCAGGCTTATCATCAGGCACCCAGCTGAATGGCAATTTAAAGTACGACTAGGAGGACCATGAACAGTGTTCCAAGAAAAGAGTGCGGACAAGTCAGCAAAGGCACAACACAATGTAGCAATCCAATTATCCAAGAAAGTGATATCTGTAAAGCAGAAAATGACATGTGGCCGATCTATCTATTCAGATGCCAAACTGGTAATAAACTCAACAAAAATTAAAACATTGCTACCACCCAAAATGACAGAATATGTAACCAAAATGACATGGAATATGAGACATATCACATCATAAGGATATGAAAAATCCACTTTCACACAGCTATATTGGGAGAAGTGGTACAGCGGACTGTTCCACCATATGGACCACACCAACAGCAACGTGTACCTGTCATCGAAAAGCCTTATCCAGTCGTATGCTAAGCAAGTCTTCATGTCAAGCATGCATCTAGTGGTGGAGCTTTTCGTAGCCCCCATGGGACCCAATCAATATAAAAAGTTTCAGCAGAGACCTTAACAGTTTATTGGACTATCATGTGATCATTATTAGGCCAGTCTCAATGGGGATTTCATGGCCCTGTTATCAATGCATCCATATTTTGGAAATAGTACAGAAGAGTTTCATCCCCATGAAACTCTCTCTACTCCCATGAAACTCTTATCATCTCTCTCTTCATCAATACGGTACCACATCAGCCTATTTAATGCCCATGAAACTCTGATAAAACCCCACTGAGACTGGCCTTATGACTACTAAATGCCCCGAAGGGCTTAGGTACAAAGATAGAATGGGGCCCAGCAAGTGACCTAGGACTAACATCCCTTGGCAAAATGAATAAAATGATAAACCAAAAGGCTAGATAAAAAAATATATATTTATAAAACGTGCAGCCATGCTGAATTTCTGTTTCTTCATAAACCTTATAAATACCAAATACACCAGGGCAAAATAACACATTCCATAACATAGCATAGGAAGAGGTAACAGTGAAAGCAACATCCAAGATCAAGACAGATGACGTGAACACATATGAGCATACTATCATGCGATATCAGCACTTAAAGACTAGCACTGTAGCTAATTTTACATAGCTGCACAATTCTTTTCATAACCACCTAGGGACTTCATACTTCTCAAGTGAATCTACAGGTGCCTGAAATTATGATGAGAAAAAGGCACTTACATAGCACCACAATCATTTTTTCCACAAAAAAAGGAAAGCATAAAACAAAATGTCAAAGTAAGCGCAAAAGTAACCATTTATATAACAACAATCTCCTACATCACACTTGCTTTTGTTTTAGATGTGTGGCCAATTGCATGACCTTCGTCAGAACCAAATTGTAATAAGACCACACTTATCTAAAAAAACATAACTATGGCTCCTGCCATGTTGCATCATTATCAAGCAGAGTAAATTGATAATGACAAGTGCACTTACCCCAAAACAAAATCCAGCCTGGCTGTGACCTGCACCACCTTCAACAGGCCTTGGAGGCTTCCCTGAGTCCATTGCGGATGAACCCCGCTTATTGAAGCCATTACATGATGGCACCTCTGCCTCCTTTACTATAGTAGTAGGAGGAGGGGACGGTGATGATGAAGGTGAGGTCGAGCATGTTCTACTTTTGGCTTGCCCCTGAACTTGATGGCCCTTAGCAGTCCCATTGCAGAATCCTGAATCAATATCACACTGGAACATGTCCACAAAAAGCTGCTGCAGCTCCTCAAAGCTTTCCTGCCTCTACAAATCCAACAGTCAAAGGTTATTGTGCTGTCATTCTCATATTTAATTTTTGGATACATCATGTCCAGGAAAATTATGCCGATTTCCAGCTATTTTCTGGAAAAAAAAATCACCTAAAAGTTCAGCTTTTAGTATCCACTAAAAACCATGGAGGATACGGAGCTTTCATAACAATTCCTTCTTTTTTAAGCCTGTGGACGTATGAACATGAAACATACAAAGATATTGAAGGTCGTATAAGTTGCTTTGGGTAAACCAAAGGAAGGCCTTGGGAACTCACTCCCATGCAATTTTAATACCCTAACATATATTTCCTCTACAAAAATACCCTGACACATTTTAGGATACAAAAGATCATGTTCGCACAAAAGGTTTCAACATCTTATTTCCTGGCGACTTCATTTTCCCAGAATAAGAATAAATGATTTCTGAGAAAGATAAAAAACTATATGATACACAGAATAGGGACCACAACGTAGAAAAGTCTGTACATGTTAGGTCTGTTTAGAGTAACACATTTTGTTATAAGTTTGTTGAGAAAACATATACTTGTGGCCCCACCTAGGATTATGCGAAAAGGAAGTGGTAAAACCGAGTGTGTCTGTACTTGTAAGCATAGCTCTAATAACAAAGAATGGGTGCTAGCTGGAATTTTCATGCTAAAGCAGCATGCGTGTGACAACCAAATCTAAATATGGCTGCTCCAGCTAATCATGGCCTTGATGATACTACAAAGAAGCATCTGGAACTAGGACCAATAGTGATATGAGCTCTTACCGTCGGCCCCACCTGGCTCATCATCTGGGCCATCTCACCAATGAAGTCCCCCATCCCCTGTATCTGCAGCAACAGCAGAAACCGTCACCCTACTGTTATATCCAGAATTATGCAACACAAAGAACAGTTCAGTTAGAGACGCATACGCTATCCTCGTCATCCTCATCGTCATATACTCCCACATCGTAGAGGAGCCGTTTATTGGCGTCGGAGAGTACTGCACAAGAACAATGGGATGGGAGCACAAGGGCTCCACGCAATGAGTTTACCAACAGGCTAGATAGGTTCTGTTTGCTGGTGTTCAGTTTATTAGTTGTTGGTCAGTCGTTGTAACAGGTGAGGGGTGGTTTGCGAGTATGGAACAGAGCAGCGGGGCAGGGGCAGGGTGCTTAGAGAAGGAAGATTGAGACCAGAATAGGCGCCCTGGATCTCTTGGAACTTCTCCTTGGCTTCCTCCATGTGCTTCACGCTGCTGGAGGAGGAGCATTTGTCCGGGTGCCACTTCTGCACAGCAATTGGACAGAATCATTACTTCATTAGGGATCCTCTCCAATGAATATGTTTTAAAATTGGAACAGAATATAACGGCATACTTGTGTTGGCATGCATTGGGATTCAGTGTGTCTGATTAGTAGGACAAAACATTGACGCACACAACAAAAAGGATTTCACCTACGAATTTGGTTTTAAAAAATCACCTTGGGGAACTTGGTGCCAATGTATCTGCCTGCAAACTCGAATCACCGGCGGAGAAGGTTTGTTTTTCTCTCTCTCTCTCGACAAATTACAACGACGCCAGAAAGGCACGCGCGATGCTAGACAGTTAAATCAACAACGATATGCAGCAGCAAGCAACCAGGAGCGGAGAGACGGCGCGGAATCAGGAACCGAATTGCTGCCTCTCACCTTGGCGAGCTTCCGGTAAGCGACCTTGAGGTCGGCGTCGGAGCACTCCTTCTTGAGCCCAAGTACGGCGTAGAGGTCGCCGCCGCCCTCACCGCCCTCCGCCGCCGCCGCGTCGCCACACTTGTCTCCCCCGGCGTCCATGCCGCGAGGCGAGAGGAGACGTGTAGCTCCCCCGGCAGCACGAAGGTTGATAGGTACCCACGGGTGCGACGCGGGGCGCGCAGCGGAAGAGCCGACGCCGGCAGTGGCGGAGGAGGGAGAGAAGGGGAAGGAAGCAAGCAAGCGGATGGCGCGGCTGCGGCTGCTGCTGCTGCTGCTTCTCCGTTCTTCCCCCCTCCTCTCCCTCTGCCTCCACGCGTCGCAGGAAGCCTCCAGAAACACGGCCATGATGCCCACTTGCCCGTTAAATATTTGGCCCTCACTCCCCGTAGGAAATTCCGAGCTTTTCTTTTTTTTGGGCGGTTTGCTCTTTTGGGCGTGGGCCCTGTTTCCAGATGCTACTGTGCGTGTTAATTAATTGTCGTCCGAAAAATAACTCTTACAGCATTTCAACGTAAGCATCAGGATAAACCAAATTTCAACGTAAGCGAACGAATACTGTAACTCGCTCGCCCCGTTTGGAACGGCATAAAATTTTCCCACTCTTCCTACGAAATTGAACTGTTTTTCTGTAAAACTTTGATGCAAATTTGTAAAATTTCTATGTTCCAAACTGAATCTAAAAAGGCTTCCAATCGTCGCTGAAATTTTGAAGGGATCTTTTCAGCCCAGAACTCATATGATCATGGTCCCTCTCCTTCAGTGTCCTAGTACCTCTTTACATAGTACAGTACTTTTTCATTTAGAAGGGAACCCTTTTAAGATCGTCAACTCATATATATATATATATATATATATATATATATATATGATCTACATATATATATATGATCTACATATGGCTTGGAATCAAGGGCTTGTCCGCTTGTCTGAATTTTGGAGAAATCTAGATGATTTGGAGGAATTTATGAGAGAGAAAGCACGATTCCAGATGAAAAAAAATAAGTGGATTAAACCGGATTTAAGGGCACGCGAACGAGGCCCAAGTGGCAGTCAAAGGTTAGCTTTGTAGGGTCCCGATGGTTATTCTACCACTCCATCAACCAGCGAAGCATGCATTTGTTGATTCTCACTGACAGTATATATTACCTACAGTATAACTGCCCGGTAAAGAAAAAAATACCTCTCAAATTATTATTTTAACTACTTAGCTTGTGTTAGACGTCTTTTATTTTAGTATATATATAAAGGTAAAGTTTGATTAATAGCTCGTTTAAAGATAATCTTCCAAGGTCGTTACCGCGCTTTTGTTCTTTTTGAAAGCATCCACTAGTGATAATTGGACTGTCATTAGCGTTGAAAACGGACGAAAAAACCCCGTTTCGACCCGTTCCGTTTTCTACTTTGTTCCGTCCATTTCCGTATCTGTGAGATCCTACGAAAACGGGAGAGGGTTTTTCCGTCCGTTTTCATCGGATCTCATTTTCATCCGGAAATTGACCCGTATTTGTCCCTTTTTCATCATGTTTTCAATCTATGTGAGATATGTCTAGGAATTGATATGTTCATAAACCTACTAATCACCAATTATGCATGTTAATATGTTAAAGAATGGCATGCTAGTGAATATTGGACCGATAACTTCGTACGTATATATTATTTTGTAACTTTGTTCTTGTATACTCGAGAATATTTGATCATATTATTCTAAATTAATTTTTTGGCTCTCCGTCCATATTTGTCTGTTTTTGTATTTCCGTATATCCCCATCAGTTTTTAATTCCGTTTTTTTTTTAACCCGATCCCGTTTACGTTAAAAATATAGAAACATAAATGGGAGATGAATTTTTCCGCTGGTTTCCGTTCGTAATTTTGGAGGCTGTTTGGTCTACAGCCAACACCAGCCACCAGCGTTGTGGCGACGCCAAACTTTAGGTGGAGGAAACGGCCACGGCATGTGGCGAAATTTAGGCCTTGTTTAGATTGAAAAAAATTTCAACCTGATGAATAGTAGTATTTTCGTCTTATTTGGTAAATATTGTCCAATCGTGGACCAACTAAGCTCAAAAGATTCATCTCATGATTTCCAACTAAACTGTGCAATTAGTTTTTTTTTTACCTACATTTAATGCTCCATACAAACGGCTAAAAATTGATGTGATGGAGAGAGAGTGAAAAACTTGGAATTTTGAGGGTATCTAAACAAGGCCTTAATGAAGGAAATCTTATGGCTGCCACAACTAACTCACAAACCAAACACCGGTCAAGTTTCTGTGGCAGCCCTAGTTATGGCGAGGCAAACGGGTCAAATTTCGACGGGAAAGCATGGTTAAACTAAATGGTTTAACAAGACGTTAACTAATAAGATAACAGTCAACAGACGTCTGGATACCAGTTTGCCCGTTTGCTGCAAACTGGGGCCAGCGACGGTATTGCTCAAAGCAAACTGTGGCCATGGGCCCATCAGCACACCCAGCATCAGCGCAACATCGTACAGGAAGCCTCGAGAAGCCAGTGGGCCCCACTGCCAGCAGTTGCGAAGTACCGGTCGTGCCCACGCGCCGGCGTGCGATCCGGGCCGTTGGCTGCGGATGGCGCTGAGACGGAACGGCCGGGATAGGCCCGCGGGGACGGAGATATTTTCGGCCGGGATAGGCCCGCGGGGAGGCGCGCCTCCAGAAGGTTCCCAGCACTGCGCAGGCGTGCGGCTGTTCCCCGGGGCCCGGGCGTTGTGCCTCGTGGGTCCCACGCGCCACCCCCTTCGCTGCGCGGACCAACAGGCCGCTGCTGCTGGGCTGGGACTACGCACTACGGCCACTGGCCCAGGGGACAGTCGGCCACGCGCCACTCCACGCAGTGCGCCGTGCGCATGGCTCACGACGGCGGATCGGGTCGCAGCGGCCAGGGGCCCAGAAAGTTCGGTCACGCCCCGGTCCACTGTGGAGCCGGTGCACGGCGAGGAGCGCTGCTCTCTCCGCGCAGGTAAAGCGACGAGGCGAGTAGGAGGTGGACGGGCGTTGGATGGGGACGGGACGCTGCGCTTTTTTTTATTTGATATTATAATGACGCGGCCCTTTTGGAATCATCGTGAACTTTATGGTTCTTTTATTAGATGTTTCTTCGCCTTGCCTAGGTCACCAAGAAAAAAAACTGTTTGGATTTTAGATAAGCCGAGTCTATGCTGTACGGTGGGAGAGAGATTTTTCTTGGTTGTTTCGCTCGATACTGTGCTTCGCCGAGCGAGAACGTGGTTTGGTTTTCTTGTCCGAGTGCTTCGAAAACAATGCACTCCCTCAGTCTTGGATTTAAAGGAGGAACAATAGTAAGTGTAAAAAAAAGAGGAACGATAGTAAATATAGCAAATAACATTACTACCCCCTATAAACCCTTTAAAAAGTACATCTCACTGTTTCACTCCTTCACACAAAAAGTCGCAGTTGTCGTGTTCTCTTCTTTTTCTAAACTCGATTATTTACTTCTTTTGTTTCACTTTTACCCAGAACATTCCACCTAGGATGGGAATGAATCGTATCGATCAATTGGGTAGTTGATCCGACCCACAAAATAATTGCCACGTTCGCTGGACTTATAAACTGTAATTTTTTAGTTAATAAATAGTATTTTTTTCTCATAATAAATCAGCCACCAGTACTTTCAGTCATGACTTATAAGCAAGCGAACATAACATAACAAGTGGTAGTTCACATGCGCGCTGCAGGCACTGTTGGTGTTCCTGCTACAGTATTCACCGAGGGAAAATTTGTGGCTGTAGCTACAGCAACTTGTTAATACACCTACTAGGAGTTAATTCCTTTTTTATAAACCTAGTTAGTCTGAAAATTAATTGAGGAAAAAAGCAAGATTTATATTTCGTTTTGATGGAGCGATTATATTTTTCTTGATATGGGTAGTACAAAGCATGATCTGTTTTCAGAGATAGCATGCAGAAGGATCGTGCCATGTTGGACGTTTTGGTCACTGGGATGAGAATGAGAGCGCAGATGGACTGCAGACAAGGTAGGATTTGGTTTTGTTGAGATAAAAAAAGAGAGAGAGAGGATTTGGTTTTGTTGGGCTACTGTGGAAAGCTTTCAGCTGTTGGGCCTTAGGTTATTCCTGTTGGGTCTATCTTGAATCGAAAGGGTTAGCGCCTGGACGTCCAAGAGCAAGAGGCGTCCGGACGATGCTTCCGTTCGAGCGTATCCGCTGCATATCCGCTGCATCCCGTCCCATCCCGTCCCCACGAAATAGAAGCGCCCTCCATCCCATCTCCGTAACAGAAGCGCACCCGTAACCCCGCGGTGCCAACAAACAAGAGTGCGCCTGCCGCGCCCGCCTCACCCCACTTGCGTATGCGCGCCGCGGAGACGTCTGCCGGCCTCAGGCGCCCACACGGTGACCCACTACGGCGCCTTAGCAGCACCAGGGGGTTGTGGCAAGTCGGTCATATTGCAACATGTGCAACACCCGGTCTAATTTTAAAACATTCATATGCAACACTTGCAACATACGTCTGAAGACAGATTAAACACTTGAAACATGCGTCTAAAACACTTGTAAAACACACCTGGAAACACTTGAAAACCATTGTAAAACAACTCAACATCCAGATAAACAACGCAACATGTGCGAAACATATGTAACATACGTATAAAAAATAGATTAAACATTAGGAACATACGTTTACAACCATTGCAACATATGTAACATCCCGATCTACTTTTGCAATAACCATACGAAACACTTGCAACATGCCTCTGAAATACTTGAAACTTACGTTTGCAACATGCGGTTTCAGCGCAACATCTCCTTGTTGCTTGGGAGAATAGAGCATCGTCGGTGTGTGGAGTTCACCGGTGTAGAACTCGCCGGTAGCGCGAAGATCGTCGCTCCGGTGAAGAAGGCTGTGGCGGGTCACTCTGGTGGAGAAAGAGAGAGAGGGCCGGGGAAAGGCCTACTGGTCGCCGCTCCTGGCATGAGCCGCCGCTGGAAAGGGACAAAAGCGACCGGCTGGGTGCGATGCAGAATTGAAGCCGCACGACGAACGATGGGAGCGGTGGAGAGGGAGAAAGGCGGGCGACAGCGCTCGGGCGTGGTGGAGA